GGGAGGAGCCGCGACCTGCCGGGGGAGGCCCGGCCCAAGGCGGCCCCTGCCGGGCGGGCGCCCGCCGGGAGACGGTGCGGGGGATAGAGCCCGACTTTGGAAACAATAACCCTGCAATTAAGAAAGCTTCCTCCCATCTCTGCCTGCCTACATGGAAAACCCGCGAGCCAGAAGTACCACTTTAAATCTATCCCGATCTTACAAATGAAAATTAGAGGTAGTTCCCTAATGATACAAGCTGCAAGGTGGGCTGGAGCACCTCTTCTCTGAAGAGAAGCTGGGAAAGCTGAGGTTGTTCAGCCTGGAGAAGAGAACAAGGTCTGGGGAAACCTTGTTGTGGCCTTCCAGTATTTGGGAGCATCTCTCATGAGGAAAGACTGCAGGAGCTGGGCCTGTTAAGTCCAGAGAAGAAAAGACTGGGAGAAAATCTCATTAATACATAAGAATATGTCAAAGGCAGATGCCAAGGGGATGGTGCCAGACTCTTTTCAGTGGTGCACAACAACAGGACGAGGAGCAATGGGCATAAACTAAGACACAAGAAGTTTCACCTCAGCATGAGGAAGAACTTCTCTATGTTGAGTGTGGTAGAGCACTAGAACAGAGGTGGTGGAGTCTCCCTCTCTGGAGACCTTCAAAACCCATTTGGAGGAATTCCTGTATCATCTGCTGGAGGTGAACCTGCCTTGGCACGAGAGTTTAACTAGATGATTTCCAGAGGCCCCTTCCAACCCTGTCAATTCTGTGGTACTTGAAGTAGGCTCATAAAAAAGAGTGAGAGGGACCTTTTGGGTGGGCAAATAGTGATAGGACAAGTGGTAATGGTTTTAAACTAAGAGAGCTTTAAATGAGATATTAGTAAAAAATCCATATTCAGAGGGTGGTAAGGCACTCTTCTCAGCTCTAGGTATTCCATCTATGGAAGTGTTCAAGGCTAAGTTGGATGTGGCTTTGATCAACCTGATCTAGTGAGTGGCATCCTTACCCATGGCAAGAGGTTGGAACTGGATAGTCTTTAAGGTCTCTTCCAGCCCAAACCTTTCTGTGGTTCTGTGATACTATATAGTTCTTCTTTTTAAATACCTCACTGTAACTGTGATACTATATACTTCTTATTTTTAAATATGTCACTGTAACTGTGATAGATTGCTGTAGTGAATAGTTAAGCATAGTTCAATATGCCACTATGTTTTTGTCTCTTTTTTTTTTTTTAAAGCTTCAGATAAATTAAATAGATTGTAAGTGTTCTTCTTATGGTTTCACTGAAGACTCAAAATAGGAATAGATGCTGGCCTATTAGAGTAACAGCTCATTTAAAGAAATGTATAGTATAATCTACCAGTGTAACGGTGTTGTCTCTGAGCTCAGGAAGCGTTCTTTCCAAAGCTCTATGTAATTAAAGGATAGTTTACTGAGATTTCTAACTAACTTGACTCACACAAACTAACTCACACCTAGGTATGCCAAAGTTAAGGTTTCCCAACCCAGGATAAAACCGTCATCCAAAAATCCACTAAGAAATAAAACTGATATAACATAACTGAGGTTCCTGCGCTCCTCCACTTAGGAAGACTGGAAGAATCATTGGTTCTTGTACTATATTTTGGCACACATTGAAACTAAATCTAAACTTTAAAGAGCAGGGAGTACTGCCATTTCTAGGGACTATAATTCCTCCCTCACATGCTGTTGTTTATTGGTTTTGGAACTGCAAGATGAAATAGTAAGGCCGTATAATTATTTATTGAAAAATGCTATGGCAAAGGTGCTTGGTGCTCAGCAGAGCTAGTAACATCATTCCCTCATAGTCTGAATCCAGAATCTATTGCCTAGATGTCTGAGCATGCATGTCTCTCTTTGGAGAGCTGTTTTCTAGCATTAGATCTGGTATTTCATTACATAAATTCAGGAAGCAGCTTCCAAGTGCTGCTGTTGAGCCTGGGTGCAGAGATGGATGGCATATGTCTGCTGTCTAGGACAGCAGAGCAGAAGCCAGCTTAGGAATTTGGTAGAATTGTCTAGAGGACTTAGGAGAAGCTGAGAGGATACTTCTGTTTAAATTGTTTGCTCTCAGAAGCACGGAAACTGTCAGGCAGCACATGGAGCACTGCCTCTCACAGATGCCAGCAGAATCTGTTTTGCTTCTTTCTATTGCTGCTCTAAGCATTTTTAAAGCACTCCATAATTATTTTTACTGTGATAATTAGGTTGAATGCAAGATAGCCATCCTTTTACATCCCTATCTCTTAATCATTTGATAAGCTGTTCTATCACAGAGAGTTAGAAGAGATGGAAGTGTAAAGATGGCTTATCACAAGCTCACACTAATCCTCCTATTCACCCTCTTTGTTCTGAAGGCATTCTTAGCTACTGAGAAATACTTCATCCAAGTGTGAGAGTTAGAGGCATAACACGTGAACCCAAACACAACTGACAGACAGCATAATTGCAAGTAGTAAAGGTAACATGAGCTTTCATGACCAGCAATTGCCAGTCTTCAAAGTTGTGTCATTGATATAATTGTGCAGTACCTCTAGTGAAGTTACTAACAATTACAACTAATTTGTAGTTTGTGTTTACAGTAGTTAAAGAACACAGCAACATATATGCTCATACTTTTGGTCACCAGTTTTACTGTACAGAAACTCTAGAAACTTTACTCTTCACATTTCTAATGAAATTCCAGAAAGTTCCTGCTTTCTGTGACCTAGGGCATGCCTGCAGCATCAGAAAGATATCTATTGTTGCAGACAAAAAAAACGATCAAGTATATCTATTTAGGTAAACCAGATAGCTTTTAGAAGAGCTCTCTTACAATAGATTTCTAGGCCATTCTTTCATGTTACATATTTTACCCATTCGTCCATAAAGAAATTTATGCAAAGAATTAAATTACACTCTCCAATTACTAGTCACAGTTGTACTACAAAGAGAAGATCCCTGAGATAGAAATAGTTATGGTTAAAGAAACCCAAGTTACTGACAACAAACCAGAATGCTCACTGTAAATTAAGTGACCCCTGAACTACCCCATTTAACACAGATTTTTCTTAGATTTTATCTAGATATCACCTCTTTAAAACAAACCTATACCACATTTGCTTCTTAGCAAGGGATCTGATTTCCAGGAAAGGTGTTAGAAGATAAACATTTCCCATTTAAGAGTAAAAAGAAATACAGGCATTTTCCAAATCATGTTATGTGCTTTGCTACAGCCATTGTTCCTTATCTTCTCTGAGCAACAGTAAAAAACAAAGTTTGCTTTAAATCTTCAGAAAGGTACTTCAGAGTTTTCTCTATGCACACCTTAAAACCTTCATACTAAGAAAAGAAAGCACTCTAAATGCCTATGAAAAACCTTTGGTCACTTCTACCTAAATAATATTTCATCTGAATGGTATAGGCCGCATTCATCCCTTAACGTTAAAAGATGTTCCCAAGCTTTTTTTGAGATATGGTCTTGCAGATATTTTGCTGCAACACACAATTTACAATGTAGTACCATTCTAAAATCATTAGTACAGGAAAGATAAACGTTGCATTTACATGGGTAGACATTTGTCTGGATTGGTAACTAGTGCAAATATGTAAATAGATTGGAAATTAGTACACTACCTTTAAGTGTTTGTACTTTGATGAACAGAAAAAATGTTAAAGATTTCATAATCTATCTTAATTAGTATGTATTGATTTACCTGCTTCAAGACAACTCTTTAAATAAAGGAAGATTTGTTTAAAAAGTTATATAACAGGATTTAGTTGAAGGGATTTACCTATGACTATTGTAAATTAGTGATTTATGAGACAAACCAAAGTAAGTTCACTGCCCCTTTAATAAAATTATTTTTCCTCTTTAAAACCAGATTTAGTTATCTATGATACATTGTAAGGGCCTGACAGTAATTTTGAGAATACGTTAATACACTGTTCTCCAAAAGTCAGTCCACTCACAGTCTGTAATTTCTCATGCTCTGTAAAATGTAACAGGTCAGCACTGCTATCAAAAGAAGTAATCTTGCCTTCCTCCACCCATTCTGTTCCTCCCTACATTTCCATCTTCCCTGATCTATACAGCTGTTTAATAAATGAGATCAGTTCCACGATCCAGGTTAAAAATACACCCCCCCCCTTTTTTTTGTGCTTAAATTTAACATGGATCAGTTTTTTGATATGCTTCACCTGCCACCACATAAATCCTTACTCTGGCACAAGAGAGGGAGCGGCGTGAGGGCAAGAATGAACTGGGGCACCATAAATTAGCACAAGAGAATATATAAGGCTGAAAGTATGATTTAAAAAATAGCTTTTAACAGATAGGCATCTAGAAACAATTGTACTCTATTCTATTGCTTGTGAGGTTTTGTGGGTTTTTTTGTTTGAGATTATGTGCCCAAAGCATACAATGCAATATTGCCACTCCATTATCTGAGAACTTGCCTATGTCCTCTTTAGGTGCTCACCTTTTCTCTTCATGCTTTAAAGACACAGAGATGAACCCTGGGCTTGTGCTGTAAATCCTTCAAGCTGTGTCTTTGGGGAAGAGGAAAGCAACTGACAACTTAGGAAAAAATCTTCCCTTCTGGCAGAAACAAGTCAAGACATCCTTCCTTCTCCACAGGCTGCTAGTTTTGCAGGATAGAAAATTTTTCTGTCTCTTAGATTTAGATCTAGATTTCTTTGAAATTTGCTAAATCATCTTTGCCAGGGAAGATTTATGTCTGGACTGTAGCAAATCCCTTACCTTAAGAATACAGCTGGAGGATATTTAACAAAAATATATCCCTAGAGGCTGAGTAGCAGTAGACAAATATGGCTCAGTCCTCCTTTTCTAATTACAAGTTGTACTCCCCAAGTCCAGTGGGAGATTTGTCCACAGAACTACATAACACATTTCTTAGTGAAAATTAGGCTATCAGCATTATTCTGTTGTTCTGGTTATAAAAACTGTGATTATAGTAAAC